CCATATCAGATCATATGATACCGTGATACCATCATCATATAGTTTTAAACAATAGACCATGACTATCACTATGACTATTAGTCTATCATAATGGTAATAGTAATAGTCATGAGTCATAGTCATAGTCTATAACTATAACTATAACTTATAATAACTTATAACCTTTGTAGGCCCAGTCTAATAGTCATTATAGTCTGCGTGTTCTATCATCTATGTCACGTCCCGTCGGTCTATCACTTATTGTATCACTGATCACTGATCACCATGGGTCATATCAATCCATCAATCACATCTTCTGAAATGATATGATGATATGATTTGATAAGTCAACAACTAACCATTTGGTGAACATGACCTGTGAATCGCCATCATTCATCATGGACAATTCCTATCATATAGAGAGATCAGGCAAAGGAAAAATGGTTGTCACTGAAGCTGTCCTGTCGTGGTCACTGTCAGTGTGATGGAACTCTCACAAGTCCAGTCCTTTGTCTCATGTTTGAGCAACTGATGGGCGGACAGGTTCAAAGGACTGAGCTCAGCAACATATGATAACAGATTCAAAACTCCTATCTCCTGCCACTGAACCACGTCCCGAACTATGACTGTGTCCATCCATAACTTAAGCGTTCAAGTGAATCTGACTCTGACTCTGTACAGTCCCTGTTGCGGGGCGCCTTGTACTTGCGCCACTCGTTTGGCAGTGGTTCACCAAAGGGACGCGTGATAGACCACACCTGGTTTGACAAATATTTGCCACATTGGCACAGCAGGCTGTTGTTACAACTGGTTTATTATCGTTCATCAAACCGGGTCACAACCTACCTCGATCAGCCCTAGTCATTCTATCTACTTAACAGTGTGTGAGGACTGAGATATCATTGCAGTATATTGCAGTGCTGGTAGTCTTTAAATGGTGACTGCGCATGTGTTAATTAGTTGAGTTGTCTTCATTTTTTCTCTTTTGTGCAACCTTGAGCACACATGCCGCTGCCTCTGCCTTTACATTCGCCATTCATGCTTCATGGACCGTGACATGGATGTCATTGATCATTTTCTTCTGATTCGTCATAAAATGTGCTAAATCAAATCAGTCGATAAAAAAAACATTGGAACACTTAGCCAGTTTCAGCAAGCACAGCAGAGCAATCTACCAAAAATCACAGGGCGCATTGAACATCCTGAACCTGGTTTGAACATTGAATCATGGTGTACTGACACTTGTCTAGTTAAACACATACATTCAGTCACATACATACAAACGGACACACAATTGCATGCATCATGTAACTATCTGAGATCTGTATCAGTATCTGTATCATTGCAGCGCAAAGCAGACCCTACAGCCAGTACTGTACAGGACCTAAAGCATGGAACACTGAATGTTGCCTGTTGAATGGCACAATATGAGTGCAATCAAGGCACTTCCTCAACGATGAAGCATTTGGGATTCCGAGCCCTGATCTTCTCCAGGCATGCTTTCACAACTCGGGCTTCTGGCCTAAAACTGGTGGTGTGAAGAAGAGTTGTTGTCCCATCACAAATCAAGCAATAAGCAGCAACAACAACTGTATAAATCTGTATAAAGGAAATACCGACCTGCCCAGTCCTACCCCTTGCCAAAACACTCGTCATGGTCCCTCGTCCCCATCTTCAATTCGTTTTGATTCTGGTTTCAACCTGGTTGTGCATCCAAACCAATTGGAGCACCAACAGCAACACTGGTTTGCAATGTGGTGGACAGATTCCATGGGTCCATGTTTTTTTCGAACCTGGTGAACTTCGACTCGGTTAGAGGCTTCATGACAACTTTGCTTTGCTTTGCCACTTTGACCGCTCCTGACTCCTGACTTTTTCGTGAGTCAATTAATCAGAAGTAGTGGCAGTAGAAGTCATTAGTCATGAGTCATTGAGTCATTAGCCATTAGAGTCAGTCACGAGTCACGAGTAACTAGTCACTAGGACTAGGAGACTAGCAGTCACTAGCCTTTCATTCTCCACACAAATGAATTGCAGCCAAAGTTCTGAGTGAAAGGATTCCAGCCAGCATGCCGTGTCTTGCCATTCAACGGGCTGAAAAGTGGACACGGTATTCCGATGATGGCCACATCATCCTTGGGCGCGTCACTAATGGAAGTGCATCATGTGTCATGCTGCATGCCGCATGCCATGTTTGTAGGTATGCTCTCACTCTCACTTTCTCTCGATGATCTTGGCCGGAACTCAACTTGATTACCAAGAATAGAATCACAAACAGCCATAGGGCCATATATACGTAGCAATGCAATGCGCGCAATAAAATAGTTTAAATAGAGCTCAGTAGTAAGTAGAGTCAATAGACGCATTGACGTTGACATAGTACAAAGAATTACCAGCTGCACAAATCGTCAAAGTTCATCAAAACATCTAAGTCTATGCTGCAATGCCTAGGTCACAACCTTTTGCCTTCGCACTTTCATGGATGACTGAGACCTTCTGTTTCAATCAAGAAATTGAAAACACCAAGACAAGAGTCGTCAATGGAGATGACTGAATGCTGCCCACCACAGACGTGGCAATGACCACCCTGCATGTCGTGCTCAACGTCAGAGAAGAAATGCAAGTCTCAGCCGGCCAAGTCCAAATTCAAAGTCTGAAGTTTTGCCACTAGTCACTTGTCAGTCAGTTGCCACCTGTCAGCTCGCTAGTCTCAGCTAGTTGCTAATGAATGGAGCAATGTGGTCGAATGGTTGGGAAAACGCGATATGATATGATTCAAATTCTGATATAAAACATCACCACAGAAACAATTGACCTACTGAGCCGGGTCATAGTAGTAGAAAGGACAGCATGTGCATAGGCTTAGGCTAGTTGAGGTCTTATGCCTAAGCCTAAGCCATTCAAACACAAATCACAAATTACAGGTTTGTAGGGCAATGACAAGAATTCACATAGTTTGTGTCTCAGTTCTGTGACTGTGTTGTTTTTGTTGTGGTTGTTTTTGTTGTGGACTCCTCATTTAGTTTTTCAAGGTTTCCGAGTCCAAGTGTCCAACTGTGATCTCTAGTTTCCTGAGTAATAGTAATGTAACGATAGTCTTAGTCATAGTCTTAGTCATAGTTTATAGTCAGTAGTAGTAACAGTATAGTAAGTGTCAGTTAAGTTAAGTTATGCCATTAACTAACCTCAATCCTCAACGCAATTGCCTGATCTATACTTTAGTTGCCTTTGTTGCCTCTGCTTGGGTGGGAAAGCACGCGCATGCCCAAATGCAAATAGAGCTGCATTCATAGTGCTTGGTACACCAACACCTCAACGTAGGGTCGATTTCACTGCTAAATAACAGGTCGAACTTCAGGCCAAGGTCTTGCTCCATCTTCTTCCTTGGTGAAAGGGAGAATGTGCAACTGGCCAGTCCTGCCCAACTGAACCCAGTGCCTTGGAGCACTCCCCCACCATGCCATGGCAGTAAAAAAAGCTGGACCGCATTCAATACTGGACTAGACTGATTTCTGAATACTCTTCAGTCTTTTTGGGAAATAAGGAAAGGACACATGAAACATCTTAACATGTGGCATGCTGTGAGTTGGATGGGCTGCCCAGACAATCTTAGTTTGTGGTTGGGCCCTATACAGTACAGCCTGTTCCTTTTCAAGTGCAAGCCGAGGCTCGCGATGTAAGCGCTTGTTCCAGCACCTTCACATGCCCCCCACATAGTGAACCTGAGATCGCCAAGATTTGCGGTGGCTTTGTAGCTCTTATGTCTTATGTCTAAATATATGATCAATCAATCATGAATCATGAATCATATCATATGTTTATATTTGTATATACGCCGCGGCCTAGGATTAAGGGCTATAGGCTATGGGCTATAGGCTATTATATTATAGGCGCGGCAGGCTTGTAGCCAGGGCCATGGCCACAGCCTTTGCTTGCATCACCCACTCATTCAACCAGGAACCCTCATCTCTGGCCAGGGATGCCCCATTAGTAAAAATAGAGCAGAAGAAGAAGTCATCAATTGGTTCTTTGGATACCATGTAATCCTGCATGTTCAGTGCAGTGCAGTGTTCACACCCTAGCCTGGGATCAATGTATGACTGTATGATGCATGCAACATCATGGGTGTTATAAATTATAAGACTATACTATAATACTATACTATGACTATATATTACTATATGCCGCGTAATAATAGTGCTGCCACAGGGCCTTTTGCCGCGCAGCTGTGCGTAATCTTCGCTAGTTAGCTCTGCCAGCTCATGGTAGCGTGGGAGCCAAAAGATAGGAAGCACTGACAAGACAGGAGGAGAAAGATTCGGGGCGTCAGAATGCTCGCTGTCCCCACCATCGGAGCCACCATCAAGAGGCCGAGACCTCTTACGATCCTTAGTTTGGGGGTTGGGGTTGGGCGGACATCACATCAGAGAAATGAAGGGCCTGACCTATCAACCTCCCTCTCAAGCTCTGTGACTCTGACCCAGCTAGCTTGAATCTAGAGAAGAAATGACCCCATACCTAAAACTAAAACTGCCCTATGGCCTATGGGCCTATACTATGGGCAATTAGGTGAACAGGTTATCCAACAGCTATCCAGTTCTGGAGCCAAGACACCTCACCAGCATTGACCATGGCCATGGTTGGCTAGTTTGAGCCGGAATGCTCCAATATACAGCAGCAGGGCCGGGCTTCTCACACAAGCACTTGCCACAGTTGCCACAGTTGCCTTGGCCCAGTAGGAGTGTGTTTGTTACATTGATAGTTCATAGAAGCAGGGGGGTTGTTACACACACACACTTCCCCAGTCAGCCAGGGCTACTGATTCTATACTGCTCTTGGGACAGACAGGGCCAAATAAAGAGGCCAACTTCTGCTCTAAATTATATAAATATATATATATAAATTGACAAAAATCTATTCAAATATCATTCCTTGTTCCTTTCTCTTCCTTATAACTTGACAAAACATCTCGGCTTCGGTGGAGCACACCGCCCTTGTCGGCGGAGACTTCTGTTGCCCGCCTGCCCAGCTCGCCGGCGGTGGAGACCCACTTCCAGCTGCCGGAGCGCCCAGGCCTCGGCGGCGTCCTCTGGCTCCTGCGGACGGAGCCAGGGCCGGTGAGCTGTCAGCCGGTGAAGCGACCGGACCTCTAGGGAAGCGACAGGAGACTCTTCTGAGTTCGAAGATGTTCGAAGAAAAAGAGCCTCAATTTCGCCCTCGACATCTAAAGAGTTCATCATGAGTTCATTCACGCGATCCTGGACTCCCTTGTGCTCCCTTTTGAGTGGATGCGAGTGGATGTGATCGGTCCACAACGAGTTCGTATTCGGTGTTGTTGTCAAGACTTGCAGCACCAGAGAATGGGCCTTCGATGCGCCTGACTTCGTGTGGGGTCCTTCGAGGGATCTTCGACCTCCGGTGTCTGGAAGACGTGAGAGCGTCAGATCCAAGCGAAAGGCCCACAGGCTGGATCTCGCATCCAATCTACCCGCGACTGAGTCAGCATGGACCTGCACCCAGTTTCCATACTATACCAAAACCCGGCGCAGCGCTGCGTAGGACCCATCCAAGAGCGCCATAACGGCAAGAACCCCGAAGAGCCATAATGAGCCATAGAGCTGAATTGAATTCACCCTCACAAGCACAAATAAGCGCCAAAGTTCAGCATCGAATTTGTTTTATTTATATAGTCAGATCCCTGCAAGAGGGACTGCTGGAGAGTCCCTCTTATTCTTCTACAATCCAGTGGGTCCATGAGGTTGGTCCGGGGTACATTGGAAGTTCTTGACTCTGACACTGGCATCAGGACACCCCAGCAGTTTTGCTTCTTGCTCTCCTCGTTCTCGTTGAGCTCCCTCTGTGCCGCAGCAGCTAGCGCCTTGATGCGTGCGCTGCTATCAACTCCTGGCCGGGTCTAGACTTGGAAACACTGTGTCAACATGGTTGGACGGTAGCAGCTATGAGGCCTAGAATGCCAAAAGTGTTGGAAAACCTAGAAGACAATAGAGACACCTTTTCTAGCCTATTCTTGTTGATATTAAGATAAGACTGTCACATGACCCCCATCACCATCCGCAAACCAAGAATCTGAGTGACCCTGCACTTGGACCACCAAGCACCCCCCGAAATTGTCATGGCCCGTCTTATAGAAACAGGATATGTCTAGGCTCTAGGAAAACAAAACCAAACAGCTCCGCATTTCATCTTTTCCCCAGGGCACAGCTTGCAGGAGTCGCCCAGTACCACTGACAGGGCTTCTATCTATCTATCGATCGATCTATCTATCTATATTAATATGATTATTATATACATATATGTGACATGTGTATATGAACTATGTCAATAATGTTTGATCACAAATCGCGTTGACAGCTTCTTCTCTCCCTGTTTCCAGAATAGCTTGCGACCACTGCTCTAGCACTGCTCTAATTAGCAATCTAGCACCAGGGGAACTGGATTTGACATTGCAGTCAGTCCTTGCGCTGGGGGCGCTCTGATTCCACCCGTGTCCCTGGCCGCAGCACGTTGTGCTCTTGCCAAGCGCGCTGCTTGCACCGCTGAGGTCTCGTGGTCCCTGCAGAACGCCGCTGAAGAAGGGAAGGACAACCATGTCGGGCTGCGGATGGGTGGGCTGCCAGCTGTGGCAGGTGAGCCGGTTCGAACATGTTTTTCGCCCCAAATGGTTGCAAGCATTCCGCCAGGTGAGGTCCGCACGCCCGCTTGGTCAGGCATTCCTGGTGCCAGGATGCGTTCCCTGCGCTGGAATCTTATCATTGTCCAACTCTTCGTTTCCACAGGCTTGCAAATTAGTTAGACCCCCATAATAGGCTAGAAAAGTCAAATCCCTTTCAACATGTATTGATGTATTGGCAATCGTGCCACTATCTTGTTGGGGGACTACTGCCACAATACATCAAACTAGCCAAGCATGCCGCAGCATGACACTGGAGATGTGTGCACCCTGCCGTCCCAACATCGAAAAACATCTTCGGATGGTCTGGGTGAACCGAACTTGCTTTTTTTGGTCCCCCAAATAGATATTGGCACATGGCCATCTACTTTTTCTACCTATCTTGGGTCCGCACAAGTTCTTTTCACACCCAGTTTGGGATAGAACAGGATCGAAGCCTTCAAAACACATCGAGCCGCATCATCGAACGGTTGTCTCTCTGCCGTGAAAGCTTGAAAGCCCAGGCCCGAGACTTCTGCCAAGGAGCTCTGCCTCCACGTCATACCCTTCGCATGGCTCAGTGATGACCTCCCCCTCCACGCTCTCCTCTGCAGCCTCACTCACTCCCACGCTCTCAACGGCCTCCGGTCGGCTGCTGCGATGGCTCCGTCGTGGGTCCTCGAACGATCAGTTGGACCGAGCAGTCAGTTGTTGCCTTGTTCAACGATCCAGGAGGTTGAAGGAGTTTTGTTTCACATGCCACTGCCAAAGTTTTAATTGCCCTTCACAAAACGACCCAAACTTCTGACTTTCAAGCTGATTGCAGGCATGCAACGCGTGTTCCTACAGCTCCAAATGATGCTTCGGTACATAGTAATGCTATATATAAAGCTGTATGCGTATTAACCCATCAATGTTGGACCTTCGAACAAGTTGGACCAAGCATCGCAGGCAGTACCAGTACCTGCCATTTTCGGTAGGATGCAAAAAAAGACTTTGACTTTAGACTTGCCAGTCTATCTTAAGTGGCTCAATGCCAGATGCCCTGAGCATATCTAGATGCCTTGGTTGGGCTACGGGGCTTCGTTCTGGGCTCCTTGGATTCGTTCAGCTTCTCAGCGCCCTTCACCTTCTTGAAGCTGGCCAAATCTGCAGGTGCCTGACGAAAGGACGGAGCAAGTCCACAAACTCCCGGAATGGGTTGAAGGGAACATCTACAGGAAACCCATGGTTTTCCCCCAAACAAAAAATGAGTTTCCTGCAGAATTCCTCTTAAACCAATTCTGGGACAAACAAAGTCCAAAAGAACCAGAACATGGATGAACATGGTAGTTTAAGTCTGAAGATCCATTACCGGAGACAATATGCAACCAAAAGAACTGCATTCATCATTATTGTCACCGTTGGATCCACCAGTTGCCAAGCAAAGCTGCTGGAAGGAATGTAGGGCTAAAGTATACTAGACTGTGAAAACTCCAAGTGAAGCTGAACAACATGCTGCTGACCATTATCCCACTTCGCTGTATCTGGAACAGCGCTGCTGATTTCAGCAGCGCCGGGCACGGAGCTCTCGGGATGGGCAAACACATGGAAGTGCATTGGAGTCGATGTGCCAAACAAAGTGACAAACATATCTTACGTTGACTTCTCCGAGAACAAGTTACTGAACGCATTTCCTGACTGCAGGTCACCCTGCTTCCAAATCTTCATAATATTGGTCAAACTTGACCTTGGCCAACAAACGTAGAAGTTCACGGCCAATTTTTGGAACACCAACATGGAAGCTACATGGAGACCTTTCCAATACACATGGAACCTGCATGAATATGAGCGAACACCAACTTGGACGCCACATGAGAGGAACCCAATAGGGAATCACCTTGGAATCACTGCCAAGTCGTGCAGCGACCATGTTGTTGATTGAATGATGCTTCCGGTGTCCATCTTACTTTTTGGTAGAACCGCCCCGCCCAACATTCTACACACGGACTCATCATGAACCAACGTGGAACGTTCTTTCCGCCGACCGCTTTCTTTTTTTGACCCCTCTTTTCTCCTGATTGGTCTGATGGACTCGCTTGGCCGTGCTATTTTCCGGACACCGACCCACACATGAAACGTGAATCATCTTGGCATTGTATCTTGTTTATTTGTCACGAAGACATTTGACAAAAGTGGAACACAACAAGTATATCAAACTTAATTACTGAGTGCGTAGACAACGCCCATGTTGGGCTGACTCCATCGATTTCCCTGAATCAAAGGAATTGAAGGTTCTCAACTTGTGTCAAAGAAGCCAATCCCCCAGGCCACAAGGTACACAGGATATCACAGGATTACACAGGTTATGACTGGGTAGGACCTGCCCAGTGATCAAGCCACCTTAGTGGCCGCCATCTGTCGACTGAGCTTGCTCTTCTTCCTTAGACGGCTCGTGGTCTGTGTCCCGATGGTAGGGCAGCGACATCCCAGATGAAGGCTATATTGCTTAATCAAATTCCGGCAATGATTCTCCTCACCTGCATACAAAACATAGAGATAACATGAGATAACAATGAGCATGCACCTTGAGAAGTTTGTGATCTTCCCACTCGTCCAAGTCTGCTGGATGTTCACCTGCTGAATTTCATCTAGGGTGTTATGACAGAATGCCTGAGGCCTGAGCATTGAGAATTAGGAGCTTAGACTTGAACATGCAACAAGAAAATAAACAACCGAAGCTGAAACGTATTCCTATAAAGTCGACAGCCATTTTACTTTTGGCCATTTCCCCAGTGCATCGACCATATCTTTAACCCAGGCTTCACTTTGAACATGGGCTCTTCATCTTCATCTTCCTCAATCGACAGCAGCCGTCGTCGTAATGCCATGGCGGTGACCGCTGGAATGTAGAGACCCGTCGTCCTACATGCCCATGTGCTTCTCTAACAAGCCAGGTGGCCTGCTATTGCGGGACTGTTGTTGTAGGTCACCTGCTCTTTGATTGCGAGAGTTTGTAGTGATTGCGCTGAAGCGTTTGCCCGTCTTGAGTCACTTTTTAGACTGGCGCCTCGTGGTTACTGCATGTATGGTGGAGGAATTTCGTGCCACCATGGGTTGGTTGAGTTTGTCGTCATCAAATGCTTACCGACAAATAATGACATGATATGATATAGGTATATATGTATATCTTGAGCCAGGAATGGCCAACGCATCCAGGGCAATGATGCGGCAACTCCATCGGCAAATTGTGCTCGAAACGGGAAAACTCTTGTGCCATCGACAATCTCTAGACATATACTTGTATGACATCCAGGTATCAAAATCCTTCTGCGCTCATGAAACATCATGAAAATGACTTCAACACGAGCAAAAAACCTTTAGGACGCAACCGATGCAAATGGCTGCAGGTTTCTAGCTGTCTGGCGGCATCAAACGGGAGAGGGAACTTTGTCCCGGTACATCGCTTCTAGCTGCGCTTGGAAGAACTCCTGACAACCGACAGAGTCAGACGGTCTAGTCTTGGTTTCTTTCGACTTCAAGACTCCTTGAACAAAAAAAAAGTATCCGCAACGAAAACATTCCTGAAACGAATCCTTGGGGGATTCAAATGAATAAAATGGAAGCTGGGGGGTAACAAGCTCAAAAATCTGTCCATGTCGAAATGTGCCATTACCTTAAGGCCCGTTCAAACAGAAGTTTGAGCACCCGGGATCGCAGGGATGAGCACTAAAGAGTTTTGGGCCACTTGTCCGACTTAACTTGACCCGTTGCAGAGGCCAGGGGTTCATGGTACTTCTATGCATGTGCAATCATGTGTATCACATATATTTAAAAATATATATACTAAATAATTACAGTGGTTTCAGAGTAGATGGCACAACCCCCAAGATGTCTTTTAGATGGGGATCCATATAAATCACCTTTTGGTGATTGTGCCATCTACTCTCAATCCACTGTATCCTCCCAGTTTAGTCTGGTGCAGTCTGGTGAATTGGTGACCTACTGGCGACCTACCTTTCAGCGGTCGGTTGATGAATGGGCCGGAAGTATCAAGTCTGTGCTGCCTCTTAGAATTTCGCAGGCGGAGCAACTAGTGGAGCAAACGCAGCAACTAGCCACTTGCTATAGCCCCAACAACGAAAAAAGAACATACTGAACAACCCCCTCCTTTCGAGAATGTTGAAATTCCTTGTAGGATTATGACGTGAACTCATGAATCCAATCCTCTGCTTGCAAAAAACACCCTCTCCTTCGCTTCCAAAGGTGGTGGGGCATGGTTCGGCCATCGTTGAAGCATGGTCAACCCGATGGAGACGCACCTGGACGTGGAGCCGATCCACCGCCGATCCGGGGAGATGGCGTCGCATACCAGGTGTGATAAGGGATCCAGGAGGACATTGGACCGAACATCTTAAACATTTGGGAGTCTGTAGCCCTGGTGCAGTATGATCTGGGAAGCTGTCCAACATCAAACATCTAAGGAATTCTAAGGACATATATGTATTATGTGTATATATATATATATATGTATATATAAACATTATATATATAGTGATTGGCAGCGTTTACTCGGATGCATCTGGATTGGAGCTGCTGCAGGTCTGTGCCAAACACATGGGCGAGGTCTGCACGCTGTAAACTTAACTGCATCAGGCATCATGACTCCTACCTTCATCAAGCCCCTCGTCCAGGCCAACTTAAAACAAACAAACACAAAATCAACATGACGTAGGGAATGTACCTCTTATCCAAACGCTCGATTTGTGGCATGGTTCCCTGCAGTGGTCTACACCTCCGGCCCGCTGCTGATCCACCTGCTGTAGCGATGAACATCTCCACAAAAAGTACCGTCGATATCGTTGATCCACTGACTGGGTGGATCCACAGAGTACCTCATCAGCTTCAATCTACCGAGCCGCTCTTCGATATGTTCATCGCTAATGACGGTCAGATCATCAGCCAGCTCCTGTGGCAGTGCCGGGGGCCCAGCGCGCTGGGGCAGTTTGCAGCGCTCAAACAGTCGACCCCACAGGCCGGTGCAAACCAAGCACAAGAAACACACAATGGCAGTGAACGCAGCACCGGGGGGGAGTCTGAATAAGGGCTCCAGCAGTGTCACTGGGACACAGCTTGGAGAGGTACTCCTTGTGGCTTGAACCGACAGGTCTCAAATAGGAGTCCTGCTGAACTGATTCAATTCAATTCTCATCACCACCGACCCTGCCTGCCTTAAATGATTGAACAACAAGTCTGATACAACACCCTACCTACCTCAAATCTGCAAAATATCGGGAACTGGTAAAACAGTGTTCACATCCACGACCACAACGTGTCTTGCTCCCAGCCATCACCCAAGTCGAGGAACCCAAATCGTTGGATCCGGACACTGTCTTGCCCGCAGAATAACCCCGTTCGTTGGGAATTTTCCAAAATCTGCGGGCAAACCGAAGCAGGGGTCGCCCAAACCGTTGCGCCAACCGAATCCCCGCCTTCTCCGTGACGATGCCCAGCTCGCAAAGCATCTTCAGCGCTTGGCGCCGTCGACTGCCGTGGGGTGCCGAGCGGTAGGCGTTGGCCCAGGTGCCGCGGCCCAAGGCCAAGCCACCACACTCCAGGGTACTTTGCAGGTGATCCACCTGAGAAGGTGTGAGGCATGTCAAGAAGATGTGAGGATTCTGGTGGGCATCCAGGCGAATAGGATGGAGATTGATGGATGGATGGATGGATGGATATCCTACAGGTTGGATGTGGAGTTGATGGGGTGGAAAATCTCCTGGCGAATGGATCTTTGTAAGAAGTTGGTTTGCGTTTTTTGTCTCAATTCATCTGCAAGCTGAGAAACATGTGCCCTTTTTCTCTTCAACTCCGGAGCCAGTGGAGCTTGATTGGGATGTCAACCACATCGGAGGACTCCTTTAGATCTGAAGCCCCAAGGGCAGCGTCGATCCCAAGCACCCAAACAGTTCGGATGCAAATATGGATGGAGAGTAGATGCCACCAACTCCCAGGCCGGTGGTGAATATGGACCCCCTGGACCCCCTATCTGTCTAAGTCATCTGGGGTCTGTGCCATCTACTCTGAAACGTACTGTGCTGATTCAAACAGATTCAAATGGGCCATTGACTCTTCAGGCGGTAATGCCAGTCACCACGAAGGAAGAAACGTCACAAGTCAAGGTCGGGTCACATCATTTGGATGGCATCATCTACACTCTACACTCCCATGGAAGTGGATGGCACCCCTTGGCTGATCACTTTTCCTCTACACATTTCTCCACTTCTGTGATCAATCTCACACCGGCTTCTACTTCTGTGAGTTTTCCTCTTGAACTGTTTCGCCTCCGTTCTCTCTCGGTGTTTTCGGCCCGGCTGCGTCCGGGGCGCGAGAATCGGCACATGCACCGGCGACGGCGGACCCGCGCCGAACTCCGCAGTTCTGGCAAGTTCAGCCGACCGATGGCAGTCAGTTCGGTGAAAGCGAGTGATACTAACTTTTACGTTCGCATTCTGATGGCATGGAGAGGTATGAAGTATGTGCGATAAGTATGGCCATATAAAGTTGTGAGCTCAGGCATGGCATCCGTTCGCATCGACTGCAGTGACTGGAGGTCGTCTGCGCAGCTTCGCCTATGGGATGCATGCGCGTTTCCAAACGGCGCATGCTGAGTATTGCACCCGGACGCCACACGTGTTCGTTGGATTTCATCCCGATTGTAGAGCAACACTCATTGTTTTAGGAGGTGCCATGTTCCACAATTCGACCGCAGCTCCTGAGCGGCTCCACACCCTTGACGAAAGCGGCCCCCACACTGGGCGACACTGGAGGACTCGGGGGGGAACTCCTCCAAGCACCAGGACTCGAGACGAACGTGTGCATGGACGAAAGCGTGGAACAAGCACCCGGAGCACCAAAGAAACCTATATATAGTCCATATATGTTCGCTAAAGCAACGCTTCGAATGTGCCTCGCATTTTCAGGCAATAAAGACTCGTAGTTTGGACACGTGGATCAGTGATCGATATCATTGCCCCTGGCCCGAACCACTGGAGGAAATAAACATTGTTTGTACTAAATCGTCTTGAATAGTAACCAGTCATTTTCCCACATTACATCTTTGCTTTGCTTCCCTCTCTCCTCTCGGCCGTCCTCAAAGATGGGGTTCCCAAACTTGGGCGATAGGTCCTGGCAAAGGACAAATTACAGAACAAATTAAAACTAGAGTTTGCTCACACAATCTTGACTCAAATTTCCCTTTGTCCATCCTTGTCATTCCTTTTCCTGCCCCCAACCACAGATTTCCCCGTTCGACTCCAGGCGCCTGCCCCCTGCGCTCTGATCGCCCAATCTCGGCCGTCCAAACAACGGGTTTTCAAAGCTCCCCCCGTGGCGCCCGATCCAAAAACAACCTCCGTGCGTTCCTCCCTCCGTGCGGATCGGATCGACCCTCCTTGCTGGGCCCAGTGCCGATGGCGCTGCCGGGCTTTCCTCGCGTAGTTGGAGGAGAATCCTGGTGAAACACTGCACCCAACACGCGAATGGCCCATGAGAATCGCATTTTTGTTGACCCCGTTCTTGCTTGGTTACTTTTTCCCTAAACTAAGAGATCGGTGTAGTTCCTCTTCTGGTACTGAACTGCAATCCCAACATCTCCCCTCTGGGGTCTTACAATGAAAGGCTGCTCAAATGACATAGATCTTAATAATTAATTGCAGCATTAGTTCATTGTCCCTGGTCTTTTGCTTGCCATGGGCACATATTGTTTGGAAAGCACAGCTAGTTCGACCACACCACCTAGTGACCGTCTGTGACCGTCTGGTGAAAGCAAGTGTCTCCACGACCCCGTTGAGGAGCTGAGTTGTCGCGATGGGTTCGCGTGTCTTCGTGCTACCTGGGCGAGGTGCTCCGAAACTGGGGGCGTGT